TGAAATGCCATGAGTTACTGAGTTGTAGAGAGAAATTACTGAGTCTCCTCCTACTACTGAAGAACCAACAAAACAAACAGGGAGGTACCCAAGCCTAGCCAAATTTAAAACAATTTTTTTTCAGTATCTGGCTTTGTAGTTGTTCTTGTTTCGGAAGGATGTTGGTTTGCCATTCAGAGCTATTACTCTATGTGTCCCTGTTAATCTCTTTTTCAAGATAGAGCTCCCTTCGTGACACCAGGATCCATGGGATTTATTAAAGCATATGACTCTTTCAGCAACATCAGTAACACTCAGAGCAACAGCTGCTAATTTCCCTTCACACAGAGATTTGTTACCAAATCATAATTTCTGGAACCAAAACTTTGAGTATAGCCATGTCATTTAATTTATCTGTGCTAAACATACTACACTTTCAGAAGACCAAGTTTTAATTCTTATTTGAGACTCGAAAATTGTACTTTGTGGGTACTTTTCCCTATTAATAGGCTACAAAGCACTAGCAGAGCCACTCTGAGTCCTGCTACATCCACTCCATCCTTTTATAGCAGATTTCAAGAGTCATAAACACATAGACATACATACACACGTGTGCATGTACTTTTCATACACACACAAAGCACTCAGCTGCCAGAACTCTAATGTGGCACACAACATGATCAAAAATTAGAAGGAGCTAAAAAGCCCAAAGTCATTAATGCAACACATTTGGGAGACTGGGAGAAGCATTCTCATATGATAAAAATAAGTCTTCTTATAGTCTCATTGTCAGAATTATTTTTCTATGATATCAGCTCAGAGCTGACACAGGCAGAAAGTCTTGGGAAATTGCTGTGAAGAGCATCTAAGAGCTGTTATCTCATAAGGCAGGTCAAATTTCTATAGGATCAAGGTAACTCTGAAACAAATCTGAAGCATCCTCTGACAGGAAAGACACTAAAGATTTTTCTTGACTTCCTCATGCGTCATGATTTCTTAGGTGTTTATTTTACTTTTGTATTACTTACCAGGAAAAGGATGAATTCTAGTAGCAGAAATGGTTCTTCTTGCATGTCTAGAACTCCTTCTTCTTAGAATAGTAAAAACTGCTGTTACTCTGTGTTTACAATCTGTTTTAAACAAAATGTGTTATCCTCAACTATAGAATTACATGCGGCACTGATTAGACAGAAAGCTGGTAAACACCTTAAATTGTTAAACGCCTTCCATGAACAAACAGAAAACTTCTGAAATAAGGTAATGAAGGGCCAGGTGTTTTATATTTTCCTGAATGAAATTTTCTGGAAATCCCATTCATGTCTGCCCCTTTCAAATTATTCCTTCCCTCCTCTATACTGTATAACTTGAACAAATTTTGGAAGGTTATCAAAGAAGTCCATGTTACAGTACAGGTTCAGACTCACACTGCTGACAGTGAAATTGAGTTACGAATAGCGAGCAGAGATCTAATGTCCTGAAGCCCTAAGCATGTACTGTAACAGTTAATGTCAAAGAAAGCTCTGGAATTGGTCTGAAGACAAGAGTGGAAGGGAAAAGGCAAAAGGACTGATTTCTAATTCAGCTCCTTTGTCATGGATCCGTAGTAACCTCCACCGAGTTTCTTTGGATGTTTTATTTTATGTACTCATGGAAATAACTTCATTAATGTTTCAGAGAGTCTCAGTGTCTGCCTAGCAGAATGTCTTGGAAGGTGTCAAGAGGAAATGAATAATTCCATATTTCTTAACAGCTTTCAGTAGTGAGCAGAAATTAAGAGAAAATCTACTAACTGAATTATGACTGTAAAAAATTCTTAGCAGCTACTTTAAGCACATAGTAATATTCTGCTGTGTTCTTTGGGCAGCACTAAAAAAGCAGTGTGTATACTTGCAATTGAGGGTGGCATTGTAATATAGTAATATCGTAATAAGGAATGTAAGCCTTAAATATTATTTTCATGTGCTTATTTTTTTGTCAGTAACATACTGATCTTGCTTATAATGTTATATATTGTAAATTTCACTAATAAAGCCACTATTCCTCTATTAACAGAAAATGTATTCTAAAACCAAGTCAGTAATTAGATGCCTCAAAAGAGCATCTTTTCCTTCCTGCTTGTGTCCATGACAGTTCTGAAAAACCTGCATTTTATAGAAAAGTGATGTTTAAGAATAAAGGCAGTAAATCATTAATCATCACTACTAATAGTTCTGCATTAAAAATGGGATGTTATGACTTAAAGCATAGAAAACTGTATTCATTACATTTATAGGTACCTTTGAAATTACAAATGCAAGTCCTTTAAATTACAGCACTTAATAGCCCACTTATAAAGACCTATTTATACTTTGTGGGATTTATATATATATAAAACAGGTCTCAGAATTTGGGTCTAGCAATAAGTAAAAGATCATGTATTTTAACCAAGATAATTTCCTTAGGAGTTGCTCTAATCATTTGGGTTAGGGGAGCACAGATTTGGCATTTATAGCAAGTATTTTGCTTATTCATTAAAATATATATGCATAAAATATTTACATTATGAAAAAAAAAATCACAGAAACATTGTGTGTGTGGTCACTCTTCTTCCTTCTGATCAGTTATGATTAAAGCCAGACTCCTATTGTCTCCTATCAGACAAAACTGCCTGTGGATACAGTCAGGATGATCAGGGGAATGGACAAAGCTCATCGTTTTTTTATTACCCCTGTGACCAAGGTCTCCATTCGGCAGCTCTGGACTACAAGGGGAAAGGGCATCCGCCTGGTAATAGCAAGTAAATACTGGTTGTCCGGAGGCACTCTGAACTGACACAGGCAGAAAGTCTCAGGAAATTGCTGTGAAGAGCATCTAAGAGCTGTTATGTCAGGTAACATTTTAAGTAATGCTCTTTTCACACTGATGAAAGGCAGTGTGCTCCCTGTGCCAGCTCCCTCTGACTTGGAATGAAAAACGAGGACCAGCAGCTGACAAGTGGTCAATTTTCTGAATTGTTTTTGTACAGAGGACTTTATCTTGATTGCCCAAAAGTCTCAGGTTCAGGGTAATCCTACACTTTTATTCTTGCTTTCTTCACTGGATATTGCTAGAAGATATACTGTAAATCCCTATTTCAGCCTATATCCCAAGTGAATTGCATAGGAAGAGCATGTCTTGGCTGGTGCAGGCATTCTGTAGAAATAATTGTTTCTGCTTCTGAACTAAGAACAATATCTTCCTTCTTTCATAGCAAAGTTTTAATCACTTAAAATAATCAGTAGTGCTGATTCAGAAATCACAGCAATACTTTCGTTGTTGAAATAACAGCAAAGAGAAGAAATGTTGTCTGAGGTTAAGAAGGCACATCTTGGTTGACCTGTTTGGGATTACACCACTGCTGAATTTAGATAACCAGCTTTTAGGACAGACAGCCAAGTGCATATCTATCTTGTAATTTTTCTTGACCATGACCTAGATGAATCATCTTCAGGAAGAAAAGGGTATTTCAATCTGCTTATATTGGTCATTGGCATTTCTGCTTAAGACTTGCAACAAGGTTCACCTGTCATTGCTTTATCTACTGGAATCAATTTGAAACCAGAAGTTCATTTCACTAAGGATCATAAGCCACCAATCATTTGTTAAAAAAAAACATATTTCATTCACCATCAACAAGCTTGGATTTGCATCCACAGTTCAGAGGTGAGAGGTCACAGTACCAATCATCTGAGTATTTCAGTCCCTCTATAAGAAGCTTTTACTATCTTACAATATTTGTGTCTGAACCACAAAAATAATCAATAGCTTTGTTATTGTAAATTAATACATTTTTCATCACATAGAAATTTAAATTCATGGAGATTAACTTTTTGTTACTTACAGTTTTGTTCATTTTCTTGGACTATTTTGTAGATGACAATTGAAATAGTAAACACAAAAACTACTGGAATCATAATAAGCCAAACAATCTTCGCCATACACATTGGATCTGTCCATAAAAGGTAGAAGAGATAAAATGAAGCAGGAAATCACTGGCAGACAAAAGCAGAACATTTGATCTTGATAGGTTATTTGACCATGCCTATCCCAACAGATGAAAATTTAAAGCAAAAGAGAAGATTATGACTTTTTTCTTTCAGCCCTCTTTGTTATTTGAAATTAGATTTCCTATCTAGAATGTAACTTCATTTTCACCTGTATCTATCTCCCCATATAAAAAATAGTTATACTTAGCTAAGTGAATGAAAACTTTTCCTATTTGTATAAAGTGTTTTATTCAACTCAGCCAGGATGAAAATGCTTTGAAGATCAACAATTATATTTAAGGTAGAGTAAGGGCAATACATATCCCCTCTTTGTTTGGATGGAGCACAGAAGGAACTGGTCCATTGTCCAACACTGGCCTGTACTTGCATTCCCAATCTCCTGGTCCATATAAGGCACAAGATTCTAAATATAGACATTTTCTTATCTAAAGGGAAGAAATACCACCAACAGGACCCCTCTGGGGAGTTCTTTTAACCAAAGCTGTCTTGAGGGAGAATCAGAGTCAGACTGGGCATAGGAGGCAGGCTGCTCTTTTGGACAACAGCTGCTGCAGAAATGCACCCACATTCCGCAGGGAATGAATTCAGTAACTTCTACAAGCCAGGACTATGTACTACAGAGAAAGTGTGTGAGGAACTTTCCTCCTTGGTTGTTCAAAATTCTTTGGCAGCTGCATGTCAATGCAGACCTTAGCATTGTCAAATAACTACTTTAAAAACCAACTACGTTACCATGACTCATATAAAATGAAATTACAGACTATAGCCAAACCGTGGTTTTCCTTTCCTTGGCTTAGAACAGTATAATTAGATCTACATCAACTTCCCTTGTGTATCTTCTCCATCAAGAAGTCCTGAGGTAACTGTCAATAACCCCATGTCTCTTTGAGGTAAGGACAGCTCATTCCTTCTAACTCAGAACTAAAAATATCTTTAATGCAGTCCTTTAGGCTCCATCTTGTAGTGACTTGTAATAACTTGTGTATCAGCCTTGCTTAGTGAAAGCCCTGAGCATATCTTTAGGTTTGTTTTGAAGTAAATAGAAAAATGATGTGTTGTTAATTTTTGTTGTTAATTTTTATTGTTAATTTGAGATAACGACTTCCCAGGTAAATCACCATTCACAAAGGGTGGTTAGCTCAGAGTTTTGATACAAGTTAGCAGGACAAGTTACAAACTGTACTGCTCTCATAGCTAGACCTACTTATTAAAACAAAACACTACAAAACAAAAAAACCAAACCAAGCCATAACAACTAAGCTGCCCTCTTTTACAGGATTTTTACCTGGACTTATTTAACATAGGTTTAGCCAACTCCAACACATGTATTTTTTTCCAGCAACGGTACGGCATAAAATGTATTTTCCATACAAAACTAAATGAATGTAATAATTCAGCAATTCCCAGGTGGCAAGGGTTGCATATAAACAAGCTGGAAGTCCTGACCATGGTCAGGCAATCAGGCAAAAAACTCCTGCAGCACAAAGAGAAATTTAAAAAGCTGACAGGCTGTCCCCTGGGAAAGCTAAGCCTAGCTCAGCTGAAGATTTCTCTTTTAAGTGTACTGTAGTAAGGCTGTATAGTAGGATATTGCAGTACAACATCAAGAAAAGGCAAGTTCTTCTGCCACTGAAGTTAACAGAATTTTTTGGTTTTGACTCCAAGACAACAGGGTTATGCCATTATTAAGGAGGGGAGAGGGGAAAAAGCTATTCCAGTTTTTGTCATACTTGCAATTTGTGAGTCTGCCACCACTAAGAGAAAAAAACGTGCAGACACTTACTTTGCTCTGTTGCTTCTATGAATAAAAGAAAGCCACAGCTAAACCTGCTTTAAATCACTGTAAAAGCTGTCAATTGCCTATTAAAGATTGTCTTTTACTAAGGGATGATCAAAATTGTATTCTTTTTTTGCAAAATACTTAAACACTTTCAAATGTTTGCTGAAAGCAAAGAACTACCTCCTGGAGGTTTTTTTGCAAGATTCATATTGTTTCTGGTTTGATTTTCATTCTGACTCTCCATTGTAACTTACATTCTGTGTAAGACTTCAGTTGCAGCGAAATATTTATACAGACATTTTGGTCTTCCATCATTGCTGCTAGACAGGAATGATTTAGGTGTTCTTTGGCTGCAGTTCTTCCTCTGAATATAGAATTGTTGATGTGGATTTCCAGCAGGTAGTAAGTATTATGTTGTACTTCTTCTTTCTCAGAAACCGTAGTGAAATTAAAATATTTAGAAAAATAAATAACATCTTCTGCTTTCACTTCAAGTGAGCCTTTTGCTTTTGGAACTAAAAATTAAAACAAAACTGTTATATAATGTGGTAGACAGAGAGCCAACTTTCAGAAAGAACAATAAAATAAGTTCTCTGTCTCATTTACAAAAACATTCAGTAGGCTTTTACATTATTGACTATGATAAAATGGACAAAAGCATACCATGTAAAGTTATTCTGAACAGATCTAAAGAGTATTGATTTTCTGTACAAAACATAGTTCCCCTGCAAATTATAGCACCTTTTTTGCTTTACTCTTAGCTTCAGAGCTTTTCATTTTTTGTTTTGTCATCTGTTGTCAAAAGTAACAGACATAAATCAAGCTATGAAAAAAATAAAAACCAAGTAAAAGCCATATAATGATAGCGATTTGAAGTATGCATCTAATCTATCTGCTAGCAGCTGCAGAAGGTCCTTGTTTCACTTCAAACCACACAAGCTGTGAGACTTGCACAATGTTAATAAGAAATAGGCAGGTGACACACAGTCAAAAGTGTTAGAGTTGTATAGGTATAACTGAGAACAAAATTTGTCCACATGTTTTTTGTTTTGTCATTTTCCAAACATATTAAGACAGCTTTTTTTTTTAAACAAGAAAATGATGCATTTGGAAATGAACTGTGGTTCTTATATTCATTACTTGGCCTGTTGCCCCTGTTGCTGACAAAGTTAGGAAAGCAAAATTCAGGGGCATCCTCTTCCCCAAAAGTTTTCTGTTACTTTGCAAGTGTACAAAAGGAATACGTTGCTCCTGCTCTGAAAAGAGGTGAATGTTGCTGGACTCTTCTCTGTATTGCTATGCCAATCTTTAGTCAGTGCTGCCTTCTATGAAACATGCAAGGCCATTTCTGATACTACACACTTATGGATATCATAGACTACAAGGACAAAAGTGGTTATTTCTTGTATAGCTGCCATCGGAATAGTTACTATCTTTGAAATAGCTTTTCAGATACTTGCTTACAACCTAGCTTCATATAATATCAGGAACAAACATGTAGAGTTCCTCAATTACATTTAAAAGCAAATTCAGCATGAAAACTGATCAGAGATTCTTTAAAAATACAACATATTTTAGAAAATTTAGCAAGATTAAAAGAATAAAGATGGGGATGTAAGAGCATTCATAAAAGTCAGATGGCAAAGGCCAAATTTGCCAACAGCAATGTTCCAGGTGGCTGCTGGATAAGGCACTCTTTTCTTTCTGCATTCCCCTTCCAGACCAATACAAAGGCCCCTGAAGATAATGACACACACACACACACACGATTTTATACAAGAACCTCAAAGGAAAGAAATCAGCATTTTGCTACCGACATGTTTCACTGACAGCCAGGAATGAATGCCACTGAGAACCTAGCATAAAACCTGCATTGTCTAGCCATGCAAAGGCAAGTTAAAGACACCACCATTCATAGGTTTGCAACCACGACAGAGAACCAGCAACATATTGCAATTTTCGTTCAACTACCAAATAAAAACATGTCTTTATGTTGTAATTAACTACTTCAAAATTAAGTATTTCTCTTTCTCTACTTACTTTTTTTAGCTGTTGGCTCTGATCCTTGATGATCAATAATCATACCTCTCTTGGATTCACACTCTGTGTGTTTGGTGTGGGACTGCTGTTCTCTCCTGGGGGACTGGCAAATACATGGAATATTTTGAAAACTGGAATGATTTACAATGGCCTTCAGTAAAACAGTCCAGTTTTCTCTTTGTTGCATTGACATTTTGCAAGAATCGTTGAAAGTACAAAGGGGAAAAGTGGTGTTATTTGATGAACAGGTATCCACGCATGACACAATTAAAGTGTGAGCTGTAAAAAAAAGATTACTAAGTTAGCAAGATAGTCACATCGGACACATGGACAAATACTTGCATGGAAGCATCATTTCACCCATCTTACGATGAAATGCACTTTCTTTCTTAAGGGTTATGGCAGCACATTGAATGCATCAAAAAGCAAGAGGAAGCAAGCACAGTCTTCTCACAACCTAGATGCTGCATTTTTTTGCTGAATTGCATGAACTCTTCTGTAATGCTAACTTGAATTTGTGGTGGTATTTAGTCACATTCATGTTTCAAAGCTGTTCCAATTTGATTGCACTTGAAAAGAAGATGAAAGCACTCATGTTTGAAGGGGGAACTTAGCCCTGGAACCGTGCAGTTCGCTATAATCAGAACAAAGTTTTTATTTCCAATGACATTGAAACCACACAGTGAAAACAGGCAGAAATGCTGCTGAATCCTCCTACCACACCTTTCACATTCTCTTATATTCAGTCAACAAACACAAACCTTAATTATGACCATTGGGTTTGGTATTCATAGCTGAATTTCAGTATCAAATTACTGTAGTAAGAGTACATTAATGCAGTTCTGGCAAGTAGCAAAATACACATAGAATGAATTATTAATGAGTGTTATTTTAGCTGTCTTCCACATTAAAGTAGGGCTTTATTGCACAAATCATGCATATTTACTTGAGTTAACTTTGAACTGTTTTTTCAATCTGAAAAAGAAAAAATTAAGAATAAAAAACTTCTGGAACCCCAACATGAAATATGTATTTATGAATACGAATAACCACTTCCTGGAGTTGATGCAGCACTAACCTATAGTTTGGTAGCTGAGCTTCCAATTCTAGTAGTACCCTTGCATCTCTATGAAGAGGAAATTTTGCATCTAACTCTGATTATGAGTAATTGGAGTAATACGTTCATAAATCCTTATGCATAGAGAGAAAAACATAGCCTTTAATTGCTCCCATGCCCAGCTGCAATCTGACAGCTTCAGCAGGCCACCTGTGCTCACGCTGCAGCAGGCTGACTTCAGAAACAGTTCAGTGAAGGATTTCAGAAAGGATATAGAAATAAAATCCAAAGTCCAGCACCAAAGTCAACTATCTTCACTTTACTACCACTACATCAGAGAGTCATAAACTTTTTATAAAACATAATAAATTGAAATGTAAAATACACATCCTATGCAGGTAAGAAAATTATTCATTTCAATACAAAAAGGGAAAATGTCAGACAAAATTTAGGGCTTGATGTCTCCCTGAGGTAAGTCAAAACATTTTCCTCAGAATGCTTACAATCTGACCTGCACAACCTGGAGTGCAGCAAGCTCCTGAGGTCAAATTCTTCCAGCTGAAGAAGGCGTTTTGTGCAGAGCTTCTCTGTGGAGAGGAGCAGCAATTGAATGCTTACTCTGCTCCCACGGCAAGGCGTGTGTGTGCCTGGGCAAACAGTCTGAAACCACTGCTACAGCTCCCAAGGTCAACTAACGGCAATTCCCCACCATACCCTTTTCACCAAGAAATCCGTATGCAGACTTGGGAATCCGCCAACTGTGCTGTGACAGTACAGGACTAGGAAGAGCATTTTTGGACTCACAGCTTAACAGTCTCCAGAGCTGCCTGTGAGCCATGTTGTAGATGTGCTAAAGGCATGTTAGCTGAGTGGAAAAAGTCTGAATGCTGTCCTGTTAGGGAGGGTGCTTACTGTTCTCTTGAATGAGCTCTATTGAGAAATCACAGAATCACACAATAGTAGGGATGGGGAGGGACCTCTGAAGATCACCTAGTCCAGCCCCCTCCTACAGCAAGGTCACCTAGAAAAGATCACTCAGAAACACGTCCAAGTGGGATTATGTGCCAGACAGAGAGCCGTGTCCACAAGAGACTTGCTCCTTTCTGCAGGACTGGGAAGCACCTCCCAGATGTAAACATCTTAGGAAAAGTGGAAAGGGTTTTGTGAAGTCTGAATGCAGAGAGCCTGAAGAGCTAAGAGGCTCACTGAGATAAAGTCATGCAAAGTATCTCTAGGAAACTGCTTTATATTCAAAGATTTGTAACCTGTATGCTTAATGTTAGGAAGTTCTGTGATTATGAAATTCCTTTAATAAGCCCCTATTTACAGGGTGTTTTTCCATAGAAAATCCAATTCCATTAAAATGGAATTATTCACAGGGAAGATCTGAATTTGTAAAAAACTTGCTTCCATTAAGAGAATCATAAATTATTTTGGATTGGCTTGATTCTTTTTCATTTGATCTATGTTATTCTGTTTTGAATCATTTCAGCAGTATATAAAATCACTTTTTTTCACTTTTTCACTGCTGACTTCACCAAAAATCAGCATTTTTTAAATCGCTTTCCTTATGGAACTTAGGGTCATCACATAATATTGCAGAGATACAAGGCCTACAGTACAACTTGGGGAGTACACAACTAATAGATTAAAGGATATACACTCCATCAAGTAGCTGGACCCAGAGCACAAGACTGGGATTGACAGCATCAGATTCCAAAATTATGACCTCCTGCTCTAAAGCAATGTAGTTTAAAGGTTCGATGACTCGCAACCAAACAAGTGGGTTGCTTCAAATATAAAGGAATCGTTTCACTTTTGGCAATGTTGAACTGTATTCTTTTGATAAACTTTTAGAGGCTTGGTTTTGTGCAAATTGATTTCCCACCTAAATGTCTGTCTAATGAGAAATTCCCTTTTTTTCCTCACTCTAGATTGAAAATAAATGCTGGAACTTCCCCTGGGATAAAACATCCAAGTTTCATCTACTTCTATCCATATACTTTCTTTGCCTGCCATTTCAGAGGTTATACTATAAACTTGAAGTACCCGCAACATAATAGTGATCTCAGAAAAGCCTGTGGAATTAGGAAGTCTCTGTTGCTCATTTAGGAACCCCTCATGGAGGAAGATACAGTGACTATGTTTCACATCTCAAAGATTTCTAGTAACAAATCTGTGCGGTGAGGCTTCATGGGGTAATCAGCAATTTGAAACATCTACAGTAAAGTAATTCTGTACATTTCAGGTTTGCCACAACATTTGAAATAACAGCAGTTTCCAACAGAAGGTCTTCAATGAACCAGAGATCCAAATTCCTTGGAATTTTCAAACTAAATAGTTCATATTTACTTTCTCATGTAATATAGTCTCTTAGATGGTCATGTAGTTTTTAGAACATCTGAAATATTAAAATAAATAAATAAATAAAATATCTAAAATTATTCTAATTTTCCAAATATAATGCTGTGCTGTATTCTGCTCATATAGTTCACAATCTTATTTTAGACATGTCATGATTTACACCGTATGTAGGTATCAGAATTGCAGTGATCACACTATTGCAGCATAAAGTGTCTCCAACAGGAGCAATCTAGGAAAGTTATGGAAAAATGCAATCACTCTTCGATGTTTGACAGTAAGGTCAATGTTTTCTTCTGGTAGCAGTCATGTAATTGTTTATTTGCATAGTTTGTGCTACCAAGTACTTTGATTACTTCTGCATGAAGGTAAAACACTAATTACTCCAACATCTTAAACTGACTCATCAATTTTATGATATTCAAAACTTACGACAGCTTACCAGGTTTGTTTATTTATAAACTATAAAAATCTATAAATTATATTCTAGTTACCATCATGTTTATTCTTTGTGGTTAATGAAAATAGAAATGTAAATCTAAGCAATGTAATCTGGATATATTTTAATATTATTTTTTGTCAGAAAATTATTCTTCATAAATGGTTTAGTTTATGATGTCTGCGAACACATACCATTTGTCAAAGGGATGCTTTTTATTATAAAATTTATCTATTAAAAAGCTTACTTAGGAATGAATGTGACAAAGCTATTTTAATATTAATTTATGTATGGATTTTTAAGAAAGGACTGAATGCATAACTAACACACACATATTTAGAATTCGTCCTAAATCCAGTATCGAACTCTAGGATCACTATGATGTATTTGAGATTTATGTTAAAAGATTTGCTTCACTCAGTTTACTTGTTCTGCACTACTTTTTGTCAAGTTACCACTGCGTACCTCTTTTACAGACAGCGTCTCATACCAGAGAGTAGTTGCACACCGTTTTATAGGTGCTTAAGTATAGAAACTTTAAAAGAAAGATATTTTTAAATACATGAGTACCTGCTATAAAAGAACATACATATTTTAACTACTCCTTTACTTATGAAGGTACAGTTGCATGGAAATAGTTAGCAAAAAAATTGTAGTGTACATAAATGAATTACAAAGTCCTTTCAAATTACCACATATAACAATAACCTTGTTAGATAAAAATCTAACAAAAAAAAAATCTATATGCTTTGCAAAGTCCATGTGAGACAGCATCCTAACCATCACTTTTAGGAAAGCACATGCCAACTATTCAATTGCAATCAGACTATAGAATAAATAAAAGATTATTGTAAAAGCTGATCACTCACCTTCATGGATTTTGAAAAATTCAGGTAAACATAAAATAAACATGGTAATTATTCCTAGTACTAATCTAAAGAGTTCTGATTTTCTGAAAAGCACGCACATGTCACTGAAGCACTCCCATCTAGCGTGGTGCTGGTAACTTCCTTCCTGATTTAGCTTTTAACATAGTGCAGACTTTATGTAAAATAACGTCTATCCATTTCCGCTTTCTAATACGACTTTTCTTTTTACTTCTTGGTACGTTAAGTTGCAGAGAGCTAAGTTCTGTTCTTACATTGGCATAGATAAGGATGATTCAAATAAATACACTGAAGATAAAACTCATGTACCACAATGAAAATAAGAGAAAAATCATGCATAGAAAGAATTTTATTAATTTGGGGTAGTATTATTTTAGGAATATCACCCCCTAATGGCCAATTTCATATACCTTATAAACAGCTAAACAGTAAATGAATCATCTTTGTGAAGGAATTTTGTTCTCATTTGGCCAAAAAGATTTAAAAAAAAAAATGAGTCAGATCCTCATTATAAAAATTAGTCAGAACCATGAGTCAGATATGGAGATTTTATTGTTTTGTTTATATATACATGCATTGGGGCTAGGAGGGAGATAATTTTGTGTAATACAGACTCTTTAAGACTTTATTAGAGTATTAATTTGATAATTACAACCTAAAGTTTCTGATCTGGCAAATAAGTGATGTACTAAGTACAATGAACTGTGTGTGAGATGCTAATATTATCATTGCTGCTACTGTATTCTTAAAAGAAAACACATGTGTTGTCAATTCCTAGAGTGTCTTCAGTGTGTATGTTACTATCCTTTACACTACAAGAACACTGGATAGAGCCTTTACTATTTCTATACATTGTAGTCACAGTTTTTCAGCTAAATTTTCCAGTTAAAAAAGTGAAGTCTTTCATTCTGATAACCGCCATCATATTCCATAAATTCTTCTTACAAATAAGACTCCAAAGAATATTTCAAAAAGTTCTGAATAAAAGTACTTTGAATAATGCATATGTAAAAAGAAATTATTTTACTCAAATATAGAGTACATACAGTATGAAGGATTTAATTATTTCTGAAAACTCCCTTCTGATATAGTATTTTTCCCACAACCCATTAAATATGGAGTATGACCAAAATGAAGCAATGCTGTTGAAGTTAAAATTAGAAATGTCCTACAAACCTGAAATGCCCTTTTTGTCATCTAGTTATCTCAGAAGATGAGTAAGCCAGGTGGAAGCAAAGACAGTGTTCATTCTATGGAAAGACTCTTAATGGAGCTGTAGTGAATATAAATTTGTTAATACAATATTTTAGATGTAGCAATTTCATGCAGTGAAAGCAACGAAACCACAGCAAAATGAACTGATTTTTTTAGATAGTATGGTACAACAGAAGTAATAAGGATACAAAAAATCATAAGTATGAATTTAGAATGTAAAATACACTCACTGCACAATTTATATTAAACATATGTTAACATATTAGCTTTCCTATGAGAGACTGCATGGCCCTTTAAGTATCTTCCGTACCAGTTATTTGTATTTTCCTGGTTTCGAGGTTGCATGGTGTTCACCCATCCTTTCTGCCCAGAAGGAATGGAGAGAATACTGGAAAATAACAGGAGGACTTCCTCAAGTAATATGTGTATCTATTCCTTTCTGATACATCCAGACTTTCGCTGCTGTTGGTAGTAGCCAAGGTCAGAATAGAAATTGCCCTGAAGGATCACACCCAAGTTCAGCTAGATACAGTAACAGCCTGTGGAATAATATGTTGAGTTTCAGGTTCTACAGAAGGTTTCCAAGAACTCTGCAGTAAGCAGGTGGGGAATATCTATTTTAGGGCTATTGTGGTCATATAGTTTAGTTTAGTTTAGTTTCTGAGTTCAGAAGGCCCATGTATGATCTGTCCACACATTCCTGAGGGACACCCTAAGCTTTAGAAACTATTACCCTTAGCAGTCGTGCGTGTGTAAACTAGCTGAAACATGTGCGTGTTCAGTGTGGCCTGACTCTACAACTGATGTGAAAAACATGAGTTTTCTTTCTTGGGGACACGTTCCTCTCTACCTAGCTAATAATTTTTACACAGCTGGAACAACTAGCACCTTTGAAAAACCCATTCTTCAGTCAAATTTAGTTAAAAATGGCTAAATCATTTAAAGTCAGCCAGTATGAAAACTGACAGGCAAAGCACGCAGCCATGTAGGCCACATTTCCTTACAGAATTAGGCAAAGAAAGCACTATATACCTCATTACTGCATCAAATTCATACTGCCACGCCTCAGCAATGATCTTGCAAGCCCTTAAATCAGTTTTATAAGTCAAAGGCACATCTGACTGTCACACAGTCTATTAATTTGGAAAATCATTCTACTTCTGGATGGCAGAGGTCACTGGTAAGGTGTCGCGTAAGGAAGCCGGCAAGGGCTGGAGCGTATTTGCCCATCAGGCGGCATTCACAGGTGCCAGGGTACTGAGAGGAGCAGCTTCACGGTTTCGTTGTGTGTCACTGTAGATTTATTTCAGTTAAACAAGGGAGCGGGAAGTTACAGAAATGCTCAGCTTTCTGGCTTTAAAAGACAGGCAAGGGCACCCAGGGACAGGATGAGGCCCTTTACAGGGTAAATCAAGAGAAACCCCACAAAAAAAGGAACTACTCGCCCC